ATAGGAGAGATCAGAGCTGCTGGATTTTCGTCATGTTTATTTATAAATTTCTTCCGTAGTACATAAAGGGAAACAACAGTGTTGGCCAAGCTACTTGAAAAATGTGCGTTAAGTGAGTTAGTGCGTATAGTGAGTTAAGCTATTAGCTACTCTACTTAAAATGTAGCTTAACTACACTAAACACTACCCCCCTGTGAAATGTAGCAAGCTAAGCTAAAAGCTACATGGCAAAAGTAGCTACATCTAAGCTATTTTTTTAATAATTTTTATTTTTAAATCGAAGCAATTTAAGTCCAATTCAATCATATTTTAGTGATCAATAAAACTTTCAATAAAACATACGAGGCATAAAAGTTCAGTTATTTACTGCAAATAATATGCTGTACTAAACAAATTATAGTATATAACAGCTAAAACAAAAAAATCTAGGTGTTACACATTTAAAATACTATAGTCATTGTGTGTGTGATATTTATATAATAATTATTTTATCACACCAGTGAAAGGGTTAAAATGAGTTGAAAAAACAATTCTTGAGATGTTTTTGGGACAACATAATTATTTTGTTCAATGCACTTACATTTTTAAACACAATTAAGTTAACTTAATTGGTTTGAATTGGCACAACATGAAGGAATTGTGTGGAACCCAGCTTGTTTTACAATGTAACGAAGCAAAATATGTACAGAAATACATTACATTTTTAAATATATTCTAACAGAGAACAAGCAATTAAGTAATAATACTAACAAAAATAATTATGAAATAAATACATCACTGGAAGAAGAGTGATGACAATAATGCCTACATTAGCCATGAAAGAAACTTTTTTTCTAAAATGAAAGCAAACATTCATAAGCTTTGCTGGCTGACATATAGCTTGGTCAACAATATAATGAATAGTTCAGCTGGCAGTCAGACCTCATTTCTCAGGCAATATTGTTCATAAAAGCAGCAGGCTTATCTGAACCCTAAGTGCCAGGCAAAATAAACAAAAACGACTTTTTAGACATTTTATTTTTAGGTCCATTCATCGATAACCAAATAGAAAAAAATAAAGCTCCATTATAAAATTTTTAACAGCTCAGTTTTTAACTAAAAGCTACAGTTTTTGGACAGCGTTTAGGCTATTTGTTTATATTTTAAACAAAGTGACATCAACTACAAGTGCCAGGTAAAATAAATAAAAATGACTTTATGACACTTTATTGTTATGAACATTCATCGTTAGCCGGAAAAAGGAACAAATCAAAAAATCCTGTTTAAGATTCTAGTATAAAAACCCTCACAGTTAAAAACAGCTTATTCATGCCACTGACAAACCCTTTACTGTTTACATTCACGTTCAACATGGTCAAGCGAAAACTAGCATTTACTCTTGCCCGTGTCTGACCTTGCAAGTAAATGGTATTTAACAGGGAATATATGGCACATTTTTGAAGGGAAGAGAGGAGTTATTAACAGCAAGTCAATGAGCTGGTTCATATACACAGTGTCCACTCATGCTGAATAACAGGATCCAGGACAGTAAGGCATGACCCATGGGCTCACTACCAAGAAAAGTGACAGCTGTGATAAAAAGTGGCTGTAGTTTATCAAGAGGACAGCGGACAGTACTCTACTTGATGCCTTTTGCTAAGCTACTGGATTCATCAGCATCAGCAATCCATCACTATAGACACAGTAAGCAGACTTGTCCATCTCCACATCAGACTGTGAATACTGCAAGACTAACTTAAGACTTTAAAAGCGAAGTAGGGGTATTGTGCAGTCATAAGGAATTAAAACTTTAATAAAACGGAAAGCCCTGCATCTCATAAAGAGATTACATGCTCTTAGAATGAGAGAGTGGATGAGGAGTTACATTGACTCATAAAAGTGGTTAGGAATGTGCTCTATGAGTCCTGTTCATGTATTCAAAAGGGACAAAAAATGTGATGCGACATTTTGGTGTTTGTGTCAAATTGAGCTTTCAAAAGTGCTTCAATATATTTATTGCAAAAGCATATGCACCTTTTTCACAATATTGTTATGATGCATTTAACGATCATCACAATGTAAAATCTTTGAAAATTTTATGTATTTAGATTTTTTTTTTAATCTTATGAACATTTATATATATTTACTTATGCATAAATAATATCAAATTACAAAAAACGAATTACCGCTTATGTGAGGCGTTTCTAATGCAGCGTCTATGGGGCTGAGAGTAAATTTGATGTTTTGATGTTGTTTCTGAAAGTCTTGATAACACCATCATGGAGTTTTTATTTTATTATTTCAGCAAATAGGGTTGTAAAAAAAATATTTGTTCTGCTTTCCCATTCATTGTACTTTAAGTTTGCGTTAAGCTATGACACCTTCTGTTACTGAGAAACCCAAAAAATGTGAAAAGAGTGTGCTTAATGTAAATGAAATGTGTATTTTGATGTTTCATTGTCAATCTGTGTAACAGATAACAAAATACATTTAGGCAAAAGTAAAGCAATTACTAAAACATATAACATAATAAAAGTGACAATACACAAAATTGTATTGTATTTTAAATTAATTAAATGTTTTGCCGACAAATTAGTAAAATTGTGTATAAAAAATGTCACCAAATGATTTCTAACAAGTTTTTTCTCTTTGTATATAAACTATAATGAATCCAATTTTAGCAGGTGTTTTTTGTAAAATCACAAAAAAATAGGTTTTATTTTTGCTCCAGAATAATAACGTTAATGCTTGAAAACCCCTTCTTTCACCCAAACGTATGCATATAAAAATAGGTTTTAACATAACGTGTGTGTGTGTGTACAGTGTATATTTATTATGTATCCACAAATACACACATGCCAAGGACGTATGTTTGCTCTTGACATTGGTGGGGACCTATCAACCACCTCACTATATCAGTCATTATATCAGCCTGCATATGTTAGATTGTGTAACAAAGGGGGAAAAAAAACATTAGCATTAACGTTACCATTATCCTCACTTGCATATCACCCACCTCACACATTTTAATCATGCACGAGATAATTCCTCTGTGCAGTTTTGGCACTGTTACATCTGAATGCAGCTATAGCCTGTCATGACAGCAGGGGAAGGCTCAGCCAATCACAATGTTCATGTGTGTTTTTAGGGCGTTTCAGTAGTCGGTGGATCTTGGTGGGAATGCGTCCTCTTCGTCCATGCAAAATCAACACCCAACACATGCATATGCACATGCATATGCACATTTATATGCACATAATTTTGAAGAAATTTAAATATATATGTAACAAAAATGTATGTATAGTTTTGTTTCTATGTATAGGTGTGCATCACATATAGGCTTACATAATAAATATATACACACACATATATTATGTTAAAACAAAAATTTATTTTGGATGTGATTAATCATGATTAATATTTGTCTATTGTGATTAACAAAAGTCTTGCAATTGAAAAAAATACTTAACAAATAATAGGAAGCTAGAATGTCAGTGCAAAAAAGCAAGGCACAAAGAACTGTACTAATTATTTACAATAGTAAAAGATGATAATAATAAAAGGCATTTGTCTCATGATAGCACTAATCGTCATTAAAATGAATGGAAACAGATTCAGAACAATAAAAAACACAATCAAAAAAATATAATCAGGCATAAAAGTACCACAATGTCATAACACTGTGAAATAATGGCATTATAGGAACCTGCCAATAAACATCAAGTCTAATTTGAACAGCTAAACTGGAAAGGTAAACATCTTTAAATGGTAATACACAACGTAATTTACAGCATAAAACATACAAATATCAAACATGCCTGTCAAAATAAACTATAATCACTACATGGTATTACGAAATACATCAACAGCACTGAATGTGGCGTTTGCTAGAGAAAATACCCAGTTGTTTAATCAAACTGGAGTGATCTCTAATTACTCGTTTTTGTTTGCGAAATCAATAAACACAAGCCTGTGTTTGCTAAACTGCAATTTGATCCATAACAGCGAACTAAATCAAAAGGAGGGTTAATTATGAGTAGTGTAATGAGAGCTAAACAATACTTCTCTAAAGAACAATGGAGAATCCACAAGTATAAATCAGCAGACGACTGAGAGGGCTGTTTAAACGATGACACAGAGGGGTGTGGCGTCAGCATGGGCTGCATGTGTCTGGAGCATCACAAAAGCCCACTGCATTTGTCTACATACAAGAGTGTTTCAAAGGCTTGAAGCGGTGTTTACATCTGCCAGAAGTTAGTGATCCGGATTGAGAAAGAACTAATGCATTTAATTAGGATTCAGTCCTCTGACATACTTATTGCTGGGATCAAAACACAATGTAAAGAAATTGTTCTAAACAAGTTCACTTTTCCTCTTTAAGGACATGCAAATCAAGCTGAACATTTAAAGCGACCAATATTTTACTGTTAAAATTAACCAAAAAGTTTCAGCAAACACATTTTAGCTGTAGCTGAATATTTCCATATGCAAACCTAAAAAAAGTTATGACTATGCATGCATATCTTATCAAACTTGAAATCTTTAAATATATACATATATATTTTTTTTTCTATTATATATTTATATTCGTTCAGACTGCCTCGTAAAAGGCGATCACAAACCACCAAGCGCGAGCATTTATTTGCCTTGATGCAAATTTCAGCCATCAATCACGTTCTGCGTTATACAGACAGACGTTTAAGTGATTAAACTTACCGATTACAATGCAGATACACACAATGTCCCCATCGATTACTGTGCGCGTGAATTAATTCTCCTCATCAGCAACTGGTGAAGCGTGTGTATTCATGTCAGATGAGATAAGGACTCAATGCACGTCTCTGTCCAGCAGCACACACACACACACATACACAGCGCTTATTTCCACGCACCTCTAAATCCCGTTCATTCAACACTGCATGTGAGCTCGCTCTCGCCGTATTCATACAGAACCACGCTGCACCGCGGATATTTCTGAGCACTGCTCCAGAACACTGAAATCTGAGCACACTGGGTCTTACCGGTGAGTTTGTTTACCGCAGTTTCATTGCAACCTCGCAGCCGCTCGATGCAGAGTAAACTACGGTCTCGTCCTGCCTCTTTGGAGTAAATCCCTTCTCGGTTTACGGAGTTTGCCGAGAGCTGCCGAGTGCTAAAGGCGGGACTAGAGGAAATGCGTCATGCAGACCGGAACTAGGGGGATTGTAGTCCTTATGTGTTGTGTTTTTCTGCAGTGATTTTAATTAAGAGATGTAATGTAATTACAATACATTCAGTTAAATAGACTTAAGCATTCTTAAGTTGATCAAGCGTAAAACTAGATGAAAGACCGTGTAACCACTAGCATCGACAGGATCAGCATGTAAGTGCAGAAATTCAATTGAAAATACTGGGGTAAAATAAACTGTCATATTTTAAAAACATGGCAGGTGAAAACTTAAAATTTCTTGTCTGGTCTGAGACCCACGTTATATTGTACATCTATCAGGCTGTGAAGATCACTGTTTTTTTTTTGTTTTTTTAAAAGAAAACAGACCTTAATCATACTAATTTTATAATGGAAAGACAGTTCACCGGAAGCTCCGAGGCTGGCTGGATGAAATTAAAAGTCTGTGTGCATAAATCCCGTTCTCTAAAGCTTAGTCTGTTGAAGGTATTTTAAAATAATTAATCCTTTTGTATTGTATTGTAGAAACTAATATACATTTTATTAATTAAAAGAAAAAAGTTGGGAATAGGAAAAAAACTAAAGAAAAAAAAGTTTTTCCACAGTATTTTTTGTTGTTGGTGGCTTTTTTTTTGTTGTAAATTTGAATTAGATTGTTGCACATTAATGTATAATGCAATATTTATTCACATAAACTACCCAAACATACATTTATAATATAATAAAACTATATATTGTGCAAACAAATGCTGTTTATGGAAATATTATGACCGTAAATAACATATTTAATTTATTATCCAATATCTAAAGTTTTAAAAAGTATATTTACAAATATTTATTAACAAAAACGTTGGCTTGTTTGACTTTAAAATGGCATAATATGGCAAAATATCATTCTTGCTTGTTTGTTTCTTGATAACCATTTTTTTGTGTCAAATTACAAGTATTATAAGTCTACAGCATTAAAAAGAAAAACTTCTTTTATTTATTTATTTGTTTGTTTATTTATTTTTATGTCATGTGTTTTAGTCAGTAAATCACACATAATTAAAAACATACATTCTTGGATTTTAATACATATTAGGATATTTATTTACATATATTTATTCACTAAAATAATTTAAATGATTTTCATTTCTAATGGCAAAATAATGTTACTTTTTTTTAGATGTGATGTTTTTACTATCAACTTTACAGTAAAATTATAAAGCAAACAATCATTCAGCTAATCTGTTTATTTCTTAAGTTATTTGTTAAAGTACATGTTTATTTTTAAATTTACAGAATCACTAAAATAAAACATTTTTACTGAACAGTTTAAATGTAAATATTTTATGACGTTTTAATCAATTTGTATTATATTAATGTGTTTTCATATACAAAATGATAGTGTCCACACATTGACATATTATAAACATAACATTAGTCTGGTGATTTAAAAAAAGCAATACAGCAGTATATAATTCTGCTTGTCAGTTTATTGATCATTTTAATTACAAGGACGATCACACATTTCCGACAACATGGTGATAAATGTCCCGTCTGTCTGTTTCTTGTTCTGTATTGTAAATCATCGGGCCAGTTTTAGGGCTCTATAGCCTCTAGCTTCAAGTCATGGATTGTGTATTTAAGCACCTGGAATGTGTTAGAAACGTGTTGACCCAACAGAGCTCAAACAGGGGTGAGGAGAGCCCACAGCAGCATTCCACTCATTCTGTGGACAACACCTCAAAGTGCATTTTCTCTTGTGAAATATGCAGCTTTCACAGTATATCTTTATATCTTCGATATAGAACTGCCTTTCTGCATATCCTCATCACTTCATCAAAATGTTCTTTGATTTTCTTTAGCTTGTATCTGACTGCCTAAATGCTGCTCTCTATGGTTTGAAGTGTTTTATTACAGCATTTCCATAGGACCATGGTTTTGTTTGATGTGCTTTAATACTGTATGATGTTACAGCATGGTCTGGCTTTGGCTGCCTATTTACAAATAAACAAATAAAAAAATTAAAAGCAAAATGTTGTGTATGAATAATACAAAATAAATATAAAATAAAAGGACAAATTACACTATAGGAATATTTAGATCTAAGTTTTGTGTGTTTGATTCACATCACCTTCTTAAATGTAGAATTTCTTTGTTTGTTAGCCTACATTCTGTCAAAGCATACGTTGCTAATTCTATTATGACTACTTTTAGATTACTTCCTTGTTACTTTTGACTTACTGTAACATGTGATTTGTATGTTTTATTTTGTCCCCAATTTCAGAAGCAAGGATTGTAAATTTTATCAAAGTAAAATGTATGGCCATGCTGAAACTTTTACACTGTCACAATTTTAAGAGAGGAGATTTAAAGGAGAAATCAGAAAAAATAAGGGAGAATAAATAAAAATGATACTTACTGCCAGTATGCTGCGTATAACTTCTAAATCCATAAAAAGTAGCTGTAATCTATTTAGAAGTAATTGTAATCTAATGAGCATTATGCACTACCTAACAAAGTCTTGTCACATATGTGAAGTATGAGCAGGAGCGCTATCCTGATAAAGAATTTAACCTCTCCCAGTGGTTTGTAATGTAATGGGCAGCACAAATGTCTAAATACTTCAGGCTGTTGATGTTGCTATCCACTCTGCAGACCTCTTGCACGCCCCCACTGAATGTAACCCCAAACCATGATTTTTCCTTCATCAAACTTGACTGATTTCTATGAGAATCTTGGGTACATTCGGTTTCCAGTAGGTCTACTGCAGTATTTGTGATGATTGGGATGCAGTTCAACAGATTCATCAGAAAAATCTACATTCTGCCACTTTTTAAAATGATCAACTAAAAGTCAAGTTATTATTTGTTGCTCTTACAACTGGGATTGACGACAAAACTTTTGTCAGGTAGTGTATATATAATCCAATTCAGTTTGTAATTGAATCAAACCAGTTAATAACCCAGAAATAAAGAAGTAGCCTTTAAAAAAATGCAAATAAGGAATGTAAGTTTATATATATATATATATATATATATATATATATATATTGTTAGGGGGTTCACTTTTTTATTGATAGGACAATGTAGAGAATGGACAGGAAAGCATGGGTAGCAGAAAGTGGTATGATCTTAAGCCGGGAATCAAACTCGGGTCACCGTGAGCACCTCTGTGGAATGTAATTTGAGGACAGCTTAATAATTGGAAGTTAATTATAAGATTCTGTATGCATTCTGATAAGTTTTACATTATTGAGCATTGGTTAGGGTTCCATAAACCAAAAAGTACATGACAAAAAACTATATGCTTTATTTAATATTTTATTATTCATACTATTATTTATACACAAATTAACACAATGTAAAAACAAACAAACAAAAACAATGTCAAAAACATGTGACCTCCGTTCTGACAAAAAGTCACATAGAACCTTATACTTTATCAGAGTTTTAGAAATATCCAAATGTTTATTATTTTAAATAATATGTATTTCAGAATCAAATCTTAAAGTATGTCTTTTTCTGAAAATAATCAGTCTGACTCATAATTAGTGGGATTGAAAAATTCAGCTTTTAAAGGTATTCACCCATAGATGGAGCTGTTCTCATGCTTTTTCTTACGCTGCTCTCATCTTTCTCTTTAATAATTAAAAGGCCTGCTGTCATTTCCATGACAATAAGGTTAGTTGGAGAATTCATTTAAAAGGTTGATTTGTTATTGGTCTTTCAAAGCCCTACCCAAATATTTTCTTAGTATGTAAACGTGGCGTGTAAATACAAACAAACATCAAAGTGGAAGACAATAGGTATATAAACACTACAATTTCATAAGCATATTTTATTAATTTCGTTGTACAGAATAGGTCCGTGTAACGCTTTGCAGTTCTTTGTTCATTTCACACCGTCAAAAATCAACAAATGAAAATTGCATTTCAAACGTTAACTTTCCATTTTTTCAGATTTTCCATAATTTTCTATTTTTTCCCATTTCTTCTTGCGTAGGTGTCCTCCGGGTGCTCCGGTTTCCCTCACAGTCCAAAGACATGCAGTGCAGGTGAATTGGGTAAGCTAAATTTTCTGTAGAGTATAAGTGTAAACGTGTGTGTGTGGAGGTTTCCCAGGGATGGGTTGTGGCTGGAAGAGCATCCGCTGCGTAAAACATGCTGTATAAGTTGGCGGTTCATTCCGCTGTGGCGACACTGGATTAATAAAGGGACTAAGTCGAAAAGAAAATTAATAAATGAATGTGAAAATTTCTTTGTTCTGTTAAACAGCATTTGAGAAATGTTTAATAAAAAAAAAATAAAATTAAAGGGGGTCTAATAATTCTGAATTTGACTGTATGTGCTTTCAAAAAACAGGTGTTTTATTGATTCCACCTCTAATTAAGATTAGATGTATTAGTTTTGATGTCACTTCTTTAACTTTATTGGTGAGACAGTATTTACTAGGTAAGTTCCAAACTTTTCTTCACTCAATTTGCTCAAATAAGGAATTTCAAAAAGATTTAGGCAACAATGTGGTTTTGCAAAACCTTTTAATGTAACAGTTATTCAATTTATTGTCTATAATTTTCACACCATTGATACTTATTAGTATGTAAAAGTTTTGATTCAGTGAATAAATTACCGAATAAGAACTGAACAAGTCCACTAGAAATTGCATCAAATACTATTGCAAATTCTTTAGCAGTTATGGGGATCTTGTAATTGAAATAAATTCACAATAATTAAAAGTTGTCTATTACTTTTGAATAACTGTTTTATCAATTTAATAACATTATTGTACCAATTTCTATAAAATAAGGATTTATTTTTAAAAGTTATACATTTGTTGTTTCACTGATTTATGTGGAGAAAAATTATACTTATAAATAAGCATCCATAGTAAGCAAACCTGTTTATGAAAGAGGAAATTTAATTTGTTAATTTCAAAGTTACACCTTAAAATATTCTAAACCCCCACCAGGTCAAAAAGTAATTCAGGGATGATGCTTCAAATTCAGCCTTTATTATTCAGGTAATTCTTAATCCATTTGTTTTTTAATACACAATTAGAAGTGCTGAAGTCAAGAACATTGAGACTATCACTATCATCAACTGAATTGCACAAAATTGTCTTTTTTAAATATTGTGGTCTGTTCCTCCATATGAAATTTAACAAAATGTTATCCACCTCTTTTATGACTGATTGTCAAACATTTAATGCAAGAGACGCACAGTTAAAGTCAGAATTATTAGCCTCCCTAACTTTATCCTTATTAAATATTTTCGAAATAATGTTTAACAGAGCAAGGAAATTTTCACAGCATGTCTGATAATTATTTTTCTTCTGGAGAAAGTCTTATTTGTTTTATTTCGGCTAGAATAAAAGCAGTTTTTTAATTAAAAAAATAAATAAAAAATACATATTAAGGTTAAAATTTTTAGCCCCTTTAAGCCATACATTTTTTGACTGTCATCAGAACAAACCATCATTATACAATAACTTGCCTAATTACCCTAAACTGCTACTTACCCTAATTACCCTAGTTAAGCCTTTAAATGGGCTATAAGCACACAGACTTTTAATTTCAGTCAGCCAGCCCCAAGACTTCCGGTTAATTGTCATCCCATAAAAAATCGCTAAGATCTGATTGCTACATGCAGTCGTCATTTGCTTTATACATTTAACACAAAAGTTCAGTTTATGAATTATAATCTTTATTTGTTTATTATTTGATTATCTATATTTAGGTTACTATAGTTTTGTCTGCTTTGAGAAATAGTTATATTATGAGGTGTAGGAAACGTGGTTGCTTTATTTGGTAAGTTTTAGGTGTCGGTAATAAAGCATGTTGGTAGCTTTGTCGGTTTTAAAAAAGGAAAGCAATTTTTTTTGTTTTGTTTTTCGGAAATGTAAATGTTATTTTTATTTCATTCAAGAAACACTTGCATCCTTGTCAGACTATAACTTTTAGAAAAGCCAGTGGGAGGATGATATATGGATGTCATATGGGAGTAACCGCGCAGCAGGTGCTGCCATTTTGAGAGGTTTATTCAAAGGGAAAATTGTTCAGACAAAAATACACAATTCAGCTCGATGAATAATATTGGTCATTGGAAGGTTTTTTGTGTCAGGAAATATTTATGCAAGTAATAGTAGCACACAAAACAAGTCTTTATTTTTGAATTTTGAAGACCAAATTGAAAAAGTAGTGGAAATATATAAAAATGTTAGTGGGGACTTTAACACAATATGGGATTCTGTAATAGATTGTTTGCTGCCTCGTCCTAATAGATCTGTTCTTCCAGAATTGAACAGTTTATGTTCTACCTTTGACCTGATTGATATATAGAGACAACAGTATCCTGAAGAAATTCAGTTTACTTGGTGTAATAAAAGTCTGTTTCAGCAGTCGTGAATTGACTATTGGCTAATTTCAAGACATTTAACAGACTGTTAGTGAGGTTTCTATAATGTCTTTAATACAACTACACACAACAATAAAAAAAAAAAACTTTCATATTGGAAAACTAACAAAAATATATTGACATATGTACAGTTTAGAGAGGAAGCAAAGTATATTATTATAAATAGCCGGAATGAGGCAAATGTAACTAATCATTTTGGTAATAATTGGGAACTAATGAAGTTTAACATTAGAACTCTAGCTAAATAGAAAGGGGGGAGCAAAATATAGAAGTGAAACAGAAGAAAAAAATTATAAGTGAAATTAAGAGCCTCTCTAGAAATTATAACATAAAACGAGAAGGAAAAAAGAAATTAATGCAAATACAATTAGAATGAGATAAATCTATAAAGCAAAGGGCGCATTCATGAGATCAAAAATAAAATGGTTACAGGAAGGAGAAAAGAATACAAAGTGTTTTTAATACTGAAAAAAGAAATGCAGAAATAACAGCTATGGTCAAATTGAATATCAATGGAAAGTTAATAGAAAGCGTTAAAGAAATATCAAGATATGTGGCAGACTTTCATGAGGAATTATATTCAAATAATAACCAATTAATTAATACTCAGTCATTTTTAGAATATATTAAAGAAGACGTTCAAAAGATAGATGAGTCCTCAGTTCAAATATGTGACCAAGATATTACTTTGGATGAAGTACTGAATCAGAGTAACTCAAACTCAAAGATAATAAGACACCTGCATGGGAACCATGGTTTAATCAGTGAAATTTATAAATATTTTCAAAAGGAACCAGCAACATTTTTGTTTGCTGTATTTAGAGAGGCTGTCCGGCAAGGTTATTTACCAAACACATTAAGACAAGGTGTGATAACTTTATTACCTAAACTTAATAAGGATATATTATGTTTAGAAAATTGGCGGCCAATTACACTTATTAATAATGAGGCAAAAATATTTGCTCGTATTTGCAGAAAGACCCTATTATTGATGTATGTCTATCGGGATTTATGAAAGGGCGACACATTTCCAGTAATATAAGACTCATTTTAGATTTGATTGATTACAATGAATTATTTTGGATAATAGTTTTATTTTATTTGTTGCATTTGATACAATTGATCATAGTTTTATGTTTAAGACTCTTATTTTTTGGCTTTGAAGATTATTTTATAAAGGCTTTATTTAAACTAAATTAAATTATCACATGGAAAAACATCAAGATTTGAAATCAAGAGGGTCATACGTCAAGGTTGTCCTATATTTCACCCTTTCTTTTCTTACTTGTAACACAAACTAAGGCCCTGCATATCAAAAGAGATACATTTTGTGGTATTAGAACTTTAGAGACAGAACTAAAAGGTTGATTGATTGCCTCAATCTTTTTTCGTCTGCATCTGGTTTATGCTTAAATATGAAAAAAATGTTTGGTGTTCTCTGTGAAAATATGCAATGATACTAATATATATGGTGTTTCAGTAAAGGAAATTGTAGAATATTTGGGTCTAAAAATTTGTAAAGATCAAAAAGAGAGAAGTAATCTGAATTTTACACCAATTATTAAGCAAATTAAACAAACATTAAACTTATGGTTAATGAGAGATTTGTCAATCAAAGGAAGATTATTATTAGCCAAAACGGAAGTTTTGTCATATTTAGTATAACTGTTAAAGTCAGAATTATTAGCCCCTCTCAATTATTAGCCCACCTGTTTATTTTTCCAACACATTTCTAAACATAATAGTTTTAATAACTAATTTCTAATAACAATTTATTTTATCTTTGTCATGAAGACAGTAAATAATATTTGACTAGATATTTTTCAAGACACTTCTATACAGCTTAAAGTGACATTTGTTAACTGATCTTCGTGTTAAACATATTCAACTAAAAATGTGAGATTATTATGAATGTTTTATTTTATGAGAGACTTCACGTCTCTATCACATACAAGAATACTCAAACTCACAATTTTCCTGTTTTCTGAAAGAAATTAATTCAGGATCTTGACTTGAAAGATTGTCACTACGTTTCTTTTAGAAGGGCTCATCCCTATGGCTTAATCAGCTGATTCTCAACCACATTCCTTTCTATTTTTAAATAATTCTTATTATTCTGCTAATACTTCCAAACATGCTTTTTTGTTGTTGATGTCTTGATGCAGATATTGAATTATCTATAGATCAATGCTTCCATCATTTTAAAGACTGACATGTCTCTTTCAGAGACACAAGTCAGCAACCAGGGCATCATGTAGAATGCAGTTTCTCACTTGTATATATTCATAGTGCAGAAATATCACAACCACAGCCATATCACCCTGCAGCCCAAGACCAGTTATTCACTGAAGCTCCACCAATAGCTAATGTGTGTGGTGAGCGCACTGACGCCGTTGTTCTGTGGCTGCAATCACATCATCCAAGTGTATGCTGCACACTGGTGGAGGTGAGGAGAGACCCCCCTCATGATTGTGAAGCTCTTTGGGTGTATGGTCATACACAATAAATGTGCAATATAAATACACATTCCTTACTACTTACTATGTCCAATCCAGCTCCTGGAGGACCACAATATTCTTTTTTTAGCTTCTTTCATAATAAAATACACCTGTACTAGTTAATCATGGTCTTACTAGGCTTAATGCAAACTCCAATTCTAATTCAGCAAATAAATGGACAAAAACATGACAAACACAACAGTTCAATTGACACAATTTTATTTCAATTCAACAATACATTTTTGGCAGCAACACCGCAAGACGCAAATATTGCTGCCGCAAGCTCTGACACCAGACACTAGCAAGAAGCAAAGGACTGGAGAGGTGGTGAGGCCACTGGTGTTAGCATGCCTGGCTAATCAGCTCTTCCTGCATGACCAGGACCGGGCGCTCATCCTCCATGTCTGATGGTGAGATCTAAAGCAAAAACAAAAACAAAATCAGGTTTATTGTCCCCAAAAAACTGACATTTTGAAAAGTTCTTGTAGATCATAGGTACCGTAAACCAGTCGTGGAGGAGGATCTGCTCCAGTTGTATCCTCTCGCTGGGATCGGGATGCAGACAGGCATTTATGAGATGACTGCATTCTGAAAGACAGGATTAATGTTTGACTATTACTTTAAACATCCTTTACATCTCCTGATGGCATTTTTAGCAGCTGAGCCAAGTGGCTTTGTAAGACACTTTTTTGTATGATTGTTACAATTTTTTCAAGTTCTTACCACAGGACAAGGACGGCAGATACCAGAGCCAGTGCTGCATCTTTTCCCGATCCGTGTAGACTGGCATATATCCACACACCATAGTGTATAGCAGCACTCCAAGGGAATACACGGTTGCTGGCCGTGCAAAGTATTTGCCCGTTTCGAAAAACTCCGGAGGGCAGTACATCTCTGTGCCTGAAGGAAAGAGATTTGCATGTCTGAGTTAGAACAGTTTGTTTTTACTGTATTCAGCAGCTTGTGTGTCATGACACTAAAGTTTTAATACTGTACATACCACTAAAAGTGTGGTACTCTGTTTCGTGGAACAGGTTCCCACAGCCGAAGTCAATCAGTGTGACATCCATGGTGTGTGTGTTGATGATCAAGTTCTCCAATTTTATATCTCTGTGGAATACTCCGCGCCGGCAGCAGGTCTCAGCTGCCTCGATAACCTGGCGCATCACATACCGAGCAAACCTTTCTTCAAAGATGTTGCCACAGCTCTCCAACAGCTTAAACACACTCAGGCATGGTGAAGGGCGCTGCAGGACCATTATATAATGGTCTGGAAAGTCCTGCCAATCCAGCAGATCGATTATGTTGGGTGAGCTGGGACCCTTGTTTGCCATAAGTGTGAGGCCGATTTCAAGTGGTACAAGTTCTGGAAGGCCAGGCTAGTGGAAAGAGTTTTTAGGATGGTTAAATTAAGGTGGTTTGCACAACATGTTTATAATTTGTTTACTGAGAGATAGTTTGCTGTCTATGATTAACACTGTTGAAAAAAATAAAACAGAGTTAGAGGAGATGAGTCTACTTACAACGTAGAGATATTCCATGCCCTCCATTTTTCTGGCAAACTTGATTGCCACCTGATCAACAAAACAGAATTTTACAGTTAGCACTGGATTACTTCAGGCCATTCTTTAATCCTTGTTGAAATTATAGTCATGAATTTGTAGCATGTTTGGTCAAGTTGACCGTTTATCAAGCACTCTAATTGTGTTACAAAAGACAAAGCATAACACATAAATATAGTTTGTTTGGTTGATCATGCAAAAATATATATAAATTTACCGGAAGACCATCATGGGCACGGACACCAGCATATACGGCACCAAATCCTCCTTCTCCCAGTAGCTCACCCATGTTGTAGGTGCAGCACATGCCTGTTCAAATATAATTAGTTTTAGAGACAGATTCATATTCTACAATGCAAAAGTAAAACTTTATTACCACTTTATACACCATTACGTCACTAATACATAATGCAGAAACATCTAATCCTTTCAAAAAGTGAAAGCATCAAGCAGCCATAATTAATATGAACTTACTCCCAATAATCAAGACCATGTCTTGGCTTGGGTTTTCTGCCAGAGGACACACAGTTTCTTCCTCTGACAGATCATCTGGAAACTCCTGGATTTGCTCGTCAACAGTGAAGAGAGGAATCTCAAAACTACTGTTGGGAGTGTTCTGAGGACCATAACTCTCTACAGAAGATATGGTCTCCACTGAAGTTGGATCTAAAGAGGAAAATATAACAATTATATATAAACACACAAACATTTCAATACTGCTACAAATAATACATTTATAGTATTTACAAAGACAAAACTGAAGAGTTCAGATACACAAACATCTGCACATCTGAACATTTGAACTCTGCAAATGTTTAAAGCTATGATGATCTTCTTTAATGATTAAGTTCAGTAAACACAAAAGATGAAGTGATTTACCATCAGTAGACGTTTCTTCCTCCAGCTCCACATTCTCACACTGTTCCTGTATTTGCAGGTCAATGATGGAGGAAGGAACCTCAAGGCTGTTAGGAGCTTGCTGGTGGTCATGATGCTCAACAGGGTTTGGGATGTTTCCTACTGAGGTTTGATGTAAAGAGGGGAACATACATTCAACATTTACTTTAATAAAACACACAGAAACGTTTTAATCCTTTTACAAATACATTTGCAGAGACAATATTTTAAAGCTATCATTTTTAAAACGATAATTTTTATAAAAAAAGATTTCCAGTCACACAAAAAATAAAGGGATTTACCATCAGTAGAAGGTTCTGCTTCGGTGACTGGCTTCACCTTCTCACTGTCCACCTGCTCCACCTTTTTACCCCTTCCAATTCTTGGGCGTGAAAAGCGGAACAGCTTTCTCCAAAAACTCGATTTTTTCTTCACTTTCTTTTTCTCCGTCACCACACTCCCTCCATCTTCCTCACAAGGAACAACACGGCTCTCATCAAGCTGATGGTTTTCGTGACGAGGCGTGTCATTATTTAACTGAAGTGGTGTACTAGGATGTAAACTGTACACACACTCAGACTCTGTCGCTATATTCAGACAAGAAATTCGCTGACCCATGATAAAACAAACGCACTGTCTCACTCCAAACTACCCACTAAAACTAAATTACCGTCAAGCCTTAACATTCCACTTTGACGTTCTAATTATGACATCAAATAGAAAGACCTTGAGATCAATTTGTTTTGTTTTAAAATTTGCTGGACTACATATTGCATACATAATACCTGACAATTCTTATAGTAATGCCTAAAATAAAGCTAAAATAAATATTAAATCATATTATAAAGGTAAATCTACTTGTTTTAATACTTGTTCAAACACTTATATAAATGTTTAATTCCGTACTTCTGCAGTATAATGCTGCGTCGCCAATACTTTCTTATTGGTTGAATTCTCTTTCTCAACCACTTGAGGGCGGCAAATATCATGGTACCTGAACAGAACTGATAGTCCACATTACTTCATGATCTCAGTGGGAGTAGTCTACTTGAAAAGTTTTATTTCTTTTTGTATGTATATTTAATGTATAAGGATATGAAGTCAGAAATGAATTAGATTAAAGATGTGTGGATGGGATTTAAAAACATAATAATGTGAATCTACTAAATCTAGTATTTTCCTTTCGTTTTCCTTATAAGTTAGAGGACGTGTGTTTTTCAGGAAACAATTTTAATTAAATAAAATATATTTCAAAATGTTTGTTTAAATTATGAAGCTCGGCCTGGTTTTGATCTAACTTGTAACGGGTGTCAACAATCTCCAGCCACTCTTTTTCACACTTTCTGGCTTTGTCCAGCACTAAGCACTTTTTGGGCATCAATTTTTAAATCAATTTCTAAATGTTTTCTTTTATAAGACCATGATTGCATATAGCCCATTTTTTCAAACTCTACCGAAAACACACACCAAGTCCACAGAGCACACTCTCTCTCATATATATTCACTTGAATATATGATTTCATCTCAAAACACTATGGATTTGAGTGTGTCATTTTTTTTAGTTATCAAGTGACCTTGAATTTCATGTTTCATATGATTAACTAGGCTTGAAACTACACTCTACAGCAGTTTAAGTTAAAAATTCTGCTGTATTTAAGCAGCGTTTATACCCAAAACCAAAAATCCTGTCATAATGTATTCACCCTTTACTAGCTGCAGACCTGTTTGACTTCTTCTGTTGAGCAGAAAGGAGGATATTTTGAAGAAAGCAGGAAACTTGTAACGCTTAATTCCATGTTTTTTTTGCTATGGAAGTCCATGTGCACAGGTTTTCATTTATTCATTCCTTTGGCTTAGTTTTTTTTTATTTATCAGGGGTCACCACAGCAGAATGAGCCAACTAATACAGTATATGTTTTACACTGCGAATGCCCTTCCAGGCGCAACCCAGTACTGGGAAACACCCATACACACTCATTCTCACACACTCACATACACCAAGGTCTATTTAGTTCATCCAATTCACCTATAGCACACGTCCTTGGTACCCAGAGGAAACCCACGCGAACACGTGGAGAGCATGCAAACACCACACAGAAATGCCAACTGGCTCAGCCGGGACTTGAACCAGCAACCTTCTTGCTGTGAGGCAACAGTGCTAACCACTGAGCCACCGTGCCACCCTATAGGTTTTCAGCTTTCTTCAAAATAGTCTGTAGTGTTCAATAGAAAAAAAAAACTTGTCAATGTTTGAAACCACTTGAGGGTGAGTAAATAGAGTGTAAATTATAATTGATGTGTGAAATATCACTTTAAAGGTTATTCTATCTAGAGGATCAGAACAAAAAATAAAAACATTGTGCCACTGAAAAATAACGTATTAGAAGAATTACATCTTATTACACAGACAGATGTTTGAACATTATATTTTTATGTGAATAAATTAATGGTTTGGATGCTCACATTGCTTGAGCTTTGCATCCATTATGTGGCCAATAGGCTATGAACAGCTAGTGTTTTTCAGCCAATGAAAACGAGTTTCAGCTAGTGTAGACAGCTAGTTTTTTTCAGCCTTTTTTTTTGCATAACAAGAACAATAGCATACAAAAATGAGGAATACAATACTTATAAAAGTTTTTTCACATCAAAGGAACAAATCAGTAGAGCAGGGGTCACCAAACTCGGTCCTGGGGTGCCGGTGTCCCTGCAGGATTTAGCTCCCACTTGCCTCAAAACACCTGCCTGGATGTTTCAAGTGTACCTAAGACCTTGATTAGCTTGTTCAGGTGTGTTTGATTAGGGTTGAAGCTAACATCTGCAGGACACCGGCCCTCCAGGAACAAGTTTGGTGACCACTGCAGTAGAGAATAAAAAAACAAACAAAATAAATTACAGGTATATATAAACCACAAAAAAATTTGCATAAGAAAATGAATCCATAATTGCACACATCCTTGAACCTTTTTTATGTTTTTATGACTTTTAGGGTTTCAATATAATGCTGAAAATCATTTTTTAAACAAAAAAGTATTAGGCCTATCATTGGACCATTTTTGTTTGTGTACACGGTACTTCCTATATATCACCATTAAAACTTTATTGGTGAGACAGTATTTACTAGGTAAGTTTTAAACTTTTTTTCCACTCAATTCGCTCAAATAAGGAATTTCAAAAAGATTTGCATTTAGGCAACAATGTAGTTCTGCAAAACCTTTTAATGTAACAGTTATTCAATTTATTGTCTATATTTATTTATATTAATTTATTGTTCACACCATTGATACTTAACTGATTACTAAGCAAAAGATTTGATTCAGTGAATACATTACCGAATAAGAGCTAAACAAGTCCACTAGAAATTGCATCAAATACTATTGCAAATTCTTTAGCAGTTATGGGGATCTTGTAATTGAAATAAATTCACAATAATTTTAAGTTGTCTATTACTTTTGAATAACTGTATCATCAATATAATATCATTATTTTTTTAATTAAAAAAACATTTTAAGGTCAAAATTATTAGCCTATTTAGGCTATATTTTTCAATAGTTTACAGAACAAACCATAGTTATACAATAAAAATAAACAGAGGGGCTAATAATTCTGACTTTAACAGTTTATACTAAACATGACGAAACTTCTGTTTTGGCTAATAATGTTCTTCTTTTAATTGACAAATCTCTCATTAACCATAAGTTTAATGTTTGTTTTGTTTTCTTAATAATTGGTGTAAAATTCAGTTTACTTCTCTCTTTTTGATCTTTACAAATTTTTTGACCCAAATATTTTACCATCTTCTTTACTGGAATACCATATATATTAGTATCATTGCATATTTTCAGAGAGAACACCACACATTTTTTAATATTTAAACCAGATGCAGACGAAAAAAGATTGAGGCAATCAATAGCAGTTTTAATTTTAATTTCATTATTTAGAAAAATGTAAGTGTTGTCAGTTAACTGAGAACCTTTTAGTTCTGTCGCTAAAAATTCTATTACCTCAAAATCTATCTCTTTTGATATGCAGGGCCATAGTTTGTGTTACCAGTAAGAAAAGAAAGGGTGAAATATAGGACAACCTTGACGTACTGTATGCTCCTCTTGATTTCAA